CCGCATAGGCGTTAAAAAAGTTTCCTTTTTGAAAGGCGACTATTGTCCTCGTGTATTCGACAAGTTTAGGTGCCGTGTTCAACTGACACTAAGCAACCTCACTGCTGTAGGCCTATTTATTCGTCTCCCCGGAGGGGGAGGGACGGAGGAAGAGGAGGGGGAGGGCAAGCGGCGTGCCCGGCGGTGTCGGGCCGGCGAGACAAAGGCTGGAATGTGTTTCGTCGTCCGGACTCGCCCCCGCATCGGGCTCAATGGCTCAGTTGGTTGCGAACGAGGCGAGGACGCTGAGTTGCCAGCGCCGGGTTCAGGTCCCGGCGCTGGCAGCGGTAGGCGTGTATCCTTCTATGTAGCAGCCAAAAAGCCATGATGTTAGCCTACAAGGGCGTTACCAACTCGGATGACCGTAGGAATCCGGAATCGCATCGCATCGAGGCGATCGCCTCGATGCGAACACCAGGGCACACCTTCCCAAACAAATGATTTTTTAAATTTTTCTTTAAATATTGGCAGTTTGCTACTGGTTCTGTTGGTAGAACTATTCTCCCAAGATCCACATCTCTGCGGAGAAAGGTAGTCGCCGTGCGCGCAAGGGGATCATTCGCCGCACCAAGCAGCAGAAATCTTGCCTCCCTGCGCAGAGGGACTGTCCGTGCGCGCGGTACAAAAAGTTGCCTTTGGGAGGGGGGCGGGAGTGTCCCCGCGCACGGCTCGTTCCGTCGCCGCGCCCGCCCGCACAGATGCCGCCGTGCGCGGGGGAACGAAACTCCCCATGCGCGCGGTAGAAAAAGTTGCCTTTCGGTGGGGGACGGGAGTATCCCCGCGCACGGCTCGTTCTGTCGCCGCGCCCGCCCGCACAAATGTTGCCTTTCTGCGGGAAACTGGAGGCTCCCTGATCAGGGCGACGTCTCAGGCATGTTGCCCTCACAAGAGCATCTTTTTGTACAAATACCCCGGCCGACACAAAAGTTGCCTTTAGGAATCACAGTGCGACGTGTCGTCCTATGACTTAAGTTTTAAGCAGTACGTACATGCTTTCACATCTTAGTGATATTTGTAAGCGCTGGGAACAGAACCACGTACTGGGATTGGATGAGAAACGATAATCGTATGGGGAATACCCGCGGCACTCGGCCCGGTGCAGTGCGGGTGCGGCAAGGTCAGCGCTCGAATTTTGTGCTAGTCGTGCAACACCGATAAGTATTATCAACGTCAACTGTTGAGTGAAACGAGCCGCATACAGAAGTGCAGAAAATCACAGTAATATAAAAACACATCACATCACAGAGCGTTTTGTTTATTATCACAGTACCACTTTTGACTTAGCAAGTCCAGCTCGCTGAGGGTGGAGACAAAAAGGTCGGCTGCAGTAGACGCCATCACCTGCCCGAGGCCGAGGTCATTTCCCTGCTGCTCATCCCTCACCTCCTCTGCCTCTGGTTCCTCGAGCACTTCCACAAGTCTGCGTTCCTTGTATTTGTGCTCACAGTTCACGTCGCCCTCCGGAGGCGGCGAGTCCGTCGCGCGCTTCGCACTCGGCCCCAGGTACACAAAAGAAGGCGCTCTGTCGACCCCTGAATCCAATCTGCTTGCACGAGCCCTGAGGACGAATGAGAACAGGGGATGAGCGCGCTGTGGAATTGACGGTCAGGTTCCTGTCTACGGCTGTGGTGTGCGGCGGGCCCCCCTCGCCCTCGTTCATCTTTGTCCCCATCAACGAAAACTTGCCTCAAGCACAATCGTAGTTTGTACAGCGAGGCGACGACCAGCACCTTCACCAGGACGAAGAGAGCCCACATCAGGTACACCAGAGGGCGAGAGCCGCCCTCCACCGGAGCATCAGGCGTCGGTAGTGGCACGCGAGACTCAATTATTGGCATCTCCAAAGCTGGTGTCTCCTCTATCGGAGGTCCCGCATGGTCCGACGGAGGCGGCGGCGGCGGCGTTGCAGTCGTGGTCGTGGTGCCCGGTGGAGGTGCAGGTGTAGCGGGATAGGTCGGATGAGACTGAGAGCTTGACGCTGAGGGCTGCAGAAAAAGCAAACGAGAAATGGTGTACTCAGTACACTACGTACAGGATGGTCCAGAGACCCCTTCCTTTATTTTGCTTTATATTGTACCGGATGCAGGCGTGCGGGCGGGTTGCATACTCGCACGGGGCCGTAAGGCGCCGCGGTGAGCGACTGTAGGCAAGCCTGCCTGCATGTGGTACAGTATAAGCAAAATAAAGGAAGGGGTCTGTGGACCTGTACCAGGACCACCCTGTATAGTACCCTGTTTGATGTGCAGTGTTGTGTCATGACCACCTTTCTGTTCCACTATAACGTGACAAGGGATGACACCTTGTATGATATTTTTCCGCCATGACTCGGCCGATTTACTCACGCAGTTCTTCTCGTCCTCGTTGCCCCTGCAGTCCTGGAAGCCGTTGCAGCGCGTCTTGGGGTGCATGCAGCGCTCCGAGCCTTTCATGTTGAGGCAGAAGTACGAGCCCGCCTTGCAGTCCTGCGCGCTGCTGCAGCCGCGCTCGTCATAGCCCCGTGTGCAGTCGTTGCGACCGTCGCAGAACAGCTGCCTGTCCCTGTGCAGTGCCCCCGTCTGGGGGCACGTCCGCAGCTCCGTCGGCCGACCAGCACCGCAGTTCGCCTCGTCCTGGTTGTCGTCGCAGTCCCTCGTGCCGTCGCACCTGCGGGGACCGTGAGGCGCCGGGGCGTCAGCAAGAGTGCGAGCTCTCTGCTCCTGCTCCGGCCCGGAGCCACGAGGACGGCGACGATTACCAGTAGGCTGCCCGGCGGCAGCGGCCGTCGCACTCGCGGGCGCCGTCCTTGCAGCGCCCGCGGCAGCCCCTCTCGTCCGTGCCGCCCTGGCAGTCGTCGTAGCCGTCGCACGCGTAGAGCGGCGCCAGGCAGCGCTGCTTGTCCTGCCTCTTGGGGCACGGCATGTGTCCGGGCGGGCAGTCGGCGTGCGCCAGGGTCGCCTGCAGCAGCAGCAGGAGGGCGGCGGCAGCGTGCACCCCGCCCGCCCGAACCATGGCGTCCATGGCACTGAGGCAGGCGGCCGTCATGCATCCGCCCGGCCCGAGATAGCAGAACGGCTCGGGGCTGACTCAACCGGGAGAGGTTATGTGTGGACCAACGGCGCACCGCGACGGCGGGCGGCAGCAGATAACGTCGCCGCCCGCCAGCCCCGGGTGGGCAGCCCATCCGGCGGGCGCGGCGCGCGGGAGGCCTTGGTTCTGCCCCGCAGGGCGCCGCAGCGCCGGCCGGGTGGGCAGCCCACCGCGCGCCAAAGGCTCCTCCGGGGCCGTCTGGCGGGCGCGGCTGCTCCCGCATGGTGGGGGGCACAGCCGAGCCCTGAGTGGGCAGCCCGTCTGGCGGAAGCGGCTGCGCCCGCAGGGTGGGCAGCCCACCGCGCGCCATCGGCTCCCCCGAGCCCCCGGGGCCCGCGCCGCACGCGCCCGGGCCGCGAGAGAGGAGGTCCCAGGACACGAGCAGCAATTACGACGATTTGAAGGGCGCAAAAGGGGACGGCCCGGGCAACAACAACTAAACGGGAGCGAGCCGACGTGCTATCCGTCTTGATAACGTTCGTCCCTCACAGGCCATTTTGACGGAGCAATAAATCACTCCATGGAATGATATTTCCTGGGTGGAAAAGCCAATAATTCGAGTGTCTGTCCCTGGTCCGAGCCCACCCAGGGTACTGCACGACGGAATTTGGCCGTTTGCTCTTATCTTAGGCCTGTTCTTATATCCATAGATCCGACGAGTTTTAATGGCGCATCGTACAGGACTTATCTGAAATTGATTTTATTCCATATGGTGTCGTTGAACACACCCCACCTTCCGGACCTAAGTGAGGGGGGGGGGGGTGAGAGCAAACCACACGCTGTATTGTGCTGTACTTTGGGACTATACTTTGACACTGAAATGGTCCTTGGTCCTCAACCGCTCACCTGTTAAAACAGGCTCCGTCCGCATCAAGATAGTGCATTATCTTAGTGCCGACGGAGTAGCATAGACTGTGTGACTTCGTCTCTTCCCGGCCGAGACTGTATCACAGCACGCGCTGTGGCTCAAAAAATACCGCAACGGTGCGTTATCTTTCCCCCCTGATGAAAGGAAAGAAAGGAGGATCCACCCCAAACTGTACACTTTCTTTTCCCAGCCGAATGTTGGAGTCCCGAGCGCGCGACTCGGCTCGATCGGCCGCCCCGACGTGACACGCCGCGGCGTGGCGTGGACGCCCAAATGAGGTCACTCTGCCAATTCGGATCTTGTTCGGGAATGCGGGGCCACTTCCCACGGCACGGTCAAGTGCACGGCCAGAGCCGCCGCCGCCGCGCCGCGCCGTTACTTGCATACACCCGTCTCATTGCTTCACATTTTATGATTTTCGCATCCCCCCCTCTCTCTCTCCGTTTTTTTTTTTTTGGCGAAAATAAGGAATGTTTTTTTTACTGAAGAAAACATTTTTTTAGGGAGAGAGAGAAAGTGAGGTACAACGTGGGGGGAATCATCACTCCAGATGAAAGTGTACGAGTTAATACGTTAGTATACACGTTAGTAGACTCTATTTTTAGCGTAATTTTTCCCATTTTAACAAAATTAGGTCATAACAGCCCTTTTTTGCTTGATTTCTACCATGAGACGCGTTATTACGCCGTTACAGTACGAGTTGGTTCGCCTTTGGTACAGCAACTGGGTGCACGAAGCAGTACGCAAGTGATTTCCTCCTCAGTGTGCCATAAAGCGGCCGGCTCTCTTTTCAAAGGGTGAGGTGGATGATAAATTTTAGACTGAAAGCAGGACTCAAGCCGCCACTGCCACTAAAATCCAATGAACTTTTTTCTTTTATGCATGAATAAAAAAAAAGTTTACAATGCATTGTGCCGGAAAATAACGAACCGTGCTGAAAGCACGCGAATTGTCTGTTGTGACTGACCTAGCCCAACTCCCTGAGGGTTAGTCGCGATCGCCCCGGGAGCTCGGCGCCTGCGAGAGTCAGGGTGGGCCACCCCGCAGTACACACATGCACTGCAGGCAAAGTGTTGCCTACCTCCCAGGCGCCATGAGAGCTCGCAGACGAGGTCTGACAGGTGCGCAACAGCGAAGGGCGTGGACGTACTTTCTGGAGGACCCCTTACAGGCACCTCCTGGTGAAAGGTGATAGGCAAACCCACCACCCGCCAGCACGCATGCGTGAGGTAGATAAATTACTTCCAGTGTGGACAGTCCACCACAAAACTTCCGTATGCCACTACTCGGCAATTTAATTGTTGACTCTCTTAGCGATCGCTAATCTGCCCGAGCCCGGAGCATCAAACCGACGCAAGCCAGACTCGGCCGCGGGCCGCTCTGACTGCTGCTGCTGCCTCCGGCGGGAGGACGTTCGCCCCTTCCAGCCCGGTCTGCACTCTCCCCCGCCGCGCCCTGCCCCACCTCACCGCGCCACGCCACGCCACGCCACACCGCGCGCATGGCGACACACCTCCGATGCACTCTGTTAAAAATAGCACTCCCCCAAAGCTACGGCTAGACGTGGTTTGTTGACCCGCAGGACAAGTTCCAGCGGAGGAGCGAGGCGGGGCAGGTGCATCCGTGGCGACTGGAGCGGCAGGAGCGGCGGGAGCGGCAGGAGCAGCAGGAGCAGCAGGAGCGCGGGGCGGGGAGCAGCGCCAATCCGTCATGCAGGGGAGTGGCATTCCCTGAGGCAGCAGAGCGGCCGTCAGATCAAGAGGGCATATAAAACTTTACGTCGAACACCAGAACTGCGTATATAGCAGTACAAAACAGCATAGTCAGGCAGTGACAGGAAACGAAATACAAACAACGGCAGTGTGGTGTAAACTGTTTGTAAATGTGCAACATATATTGATGCGACTCCTGCAATGCCCGTGCCATTCTATTGGTCGGCAGGATCTGCTCGTGCTCGAAAGACGACCCAGTCGATGCAGTCGCAGCCGTCGTCCGGAGCCCGGTGCAAGCGCGGTGCAAGCCCGGTGCAACCCGCTGCCGGGTCCACTTCACGGGAGTGTGCATCCGACTGCGCCGGTGCCTGGCCGCATCGAGCCAGCCAGGACGGGGCGGGGCGAGGCGGGGCGGGGG